GTGTTGACCGACGATTATCAGTGTGAATGGATTCACGCCTGAATATTAATTTAACAATCTCATTTAAGTCATTAAGTTCTTTCTTATTGACTTCGTGACCTATTACCTGTCCCTCTTTGTTAACTATTTATGTTTTTCATATGTTTACAATGCGTCCGATTGCGCACGATCCAGCACGAAAGATGATTGGCCACATCAGGATTGTCGGTTTGTAAATGGCTTTTACTTGCGGGGACATGTATTAAGCTGGATATGCACGTAACACATATTTACGTCATTTGTACTGTAATATTCTTATGTGGTTTGGAACGACCTCCATGTGACAGTAGTGTAATTAGCCGTAACCTAGTGCAACGCTGTGATCTGGTCCTTTTGAAAAGCGATGTTCGAACTTTCTTGCAATGAAATTTTCTTTTCAGCCGACATCTATCAGCATATTAAAGACATATACAAGTCATTGCGAATCAAAGCGGATCACTCGGAACTGAAGGAATTGGCCAAAGATCTGATAAAGTGTTTGAATAGCTTGGACACCGTCGTTCAGCTAAACTCTTCTTTCGAAGCTGTGCGACTTGCCGTCCGTCGAATCGAAAGTCAACTTCCTAAAGGTATTTGATTTCTTGCAAAACATCCTACGGTATTCAGTGTTTTTGTTGTGGATTAATAACCATGTCTGTGGTATGTCGGGCTGAAGTTGATATAGTCTGGTCTGAAACAGTGAATCCTTTATCAGCTATCCTGACGCACGAAAAAATACTGCTGATCTTCAGGTAGCAGACAGGTTATAAGCACTATATTTTACGTCATTAGTTTAGTACTATCGCTTCCTCCGGGGCTTTTCGCTGACGAGAGTTCAACTATGGCCAGCTGGTACTTTTTGGCCTCATCAACTGTTCCCTACCATTTCCTTCTGAGTGAGATGTGCCATTTTCTGACCGTGAGTTCTCACTCTTGGTGTTGTTTCCGTGGAACCTTATTTGCTTTTCCGTTCAGAACGGGTGGCGACTCCGCTGCTGACTTGTATCTTCGTAGACCTTCAGCAGTCGTCGCCGGCTGCTACGTCCCCAGCTCCCAGAGGCATGCAGCAAGTTATCATTGCTGAATTGACGTTGGATTTACAGACTGTAGCCGCAAGCAAACTCGCTCTTGAACTTGATCATTCGACGTTGTGTTAGCGCAATGGTTGCTATGGTCGTATAAATCTAATCGAGCATAAGCTCAATAACCAGAAAATATTTAAATGTCATTTGTGCTGTATTTTTTTAAATATTAAACTGTACTTATAACGTCAAGGTCGTACTTTCTTTAGT